AGGAGCTCTGGAAGAACAGTCAGCATTCTTAACCTGTGAGCCATCTCTCCAGCCCCCTTCCAGCTTTCTTATCTGTTACCCAGCACAAGGACTTAGAGTGGGATGCATTTAGCCAGATGCAGGGGATAAGCATGTGAACAAGTTGTGGTTCCTTGTGGAAACATGTCAGCTCTGGTGCATGGCTGAGACTTGAAAATGCACAGGGACAAAACAGAATTTTACTGAGCTGATATGAAATTGGAAAGGTCAGAGCAAACATTTCACCTGGCTCTAAATAAATCTTGGTGTGTGAGGCTGCCCTGTGTTCTTTCAGTTCACGGAGCCTCTGGGCCAGTCTCTTTTCTCTGTCTGCCTGTTTCCCTTACAGATCCTAAGTTGGAGCATAGCCTGCTAGAGCTGGTTGTCCCTCCCCTGCAACATAGCAACCCACCACCACCCAAAGAACCAGGATCCAGTGGCTTCTTTGGGTTTCTAAGGTAAAACAGGGTTGTTGTTGTTTTTATTTTTATTTATTTATTACTTTTTTATTTTTTGCCTTTAAGCTAAAAAGCAGTCTCTAGGTCCAGTTGCTTCATTGAGTCTTGGGGAGGGAAAGACTAGAGAAGGAGTAGAGACTTTACTAAGATTTCTCAGTTGTATCAAAGATAGATGGTGGAAATGAAACAAGGGCCCTAATTCAAAAGAATGTGGTTTTTGGGGGTTTTTTTTTTGGTTTTTTTGTTTGTTTGGTTGGTTGGTTGGTTGGGTTTTTTGATTTTTTTTTTTTTTGAGGCAAGGTCTCACTGTGTAACCCTGGCATGCAACTCACTATGTAGACCATTCTGTCCTTGAACTAAGAGATCCTCCTGCCTCTGCCTGCAGAGTGCTGAGATTAAAGATGTGCACCGTCACACCAGGTTTCTTCCTGTTGAGACATGGTGTCACTTTGAGCTTGGGCTGTGTGCTCTCTGTCCATGTGTAAAGCTCTTTCTGCCCTGAGGTGCCCTCATAAGCCTGTTTCACAAATGTTGCTTGAACAGAAACATCTGTCTGCCTTGGGTCATTCAGATGATTTGAGTCCAGAATGCTTCCAACTCTCCCCTCTGAATCTAGGTGTGTGTTCAGAATCCTTTTTGGAGAGAACACTGAGCAATCTTTGTCTATCTAGAGTTCAACCATCCTATTGCAATTATATTTCCTTTATTTCCCCCTTCCGGGTATAATCTAATTTGGGTACCTTCTCAAATGCTGTTTTAGACTTGAATTTCCATTCTGTGGTTCCCCAGAGCAAAATGCCCCAGTTAATGAAGCACTAATGGGAACCAGGGAGAAGGGACCCAACCTCCTCCGTCTCAGCCCCTCTGCTCTCCTCCCTGCAGCACTCTCTTCCCGTTTCGGTGTTTCTTCAGGAAGAACAGTCAGTGAGCCTGCCAGGCACTACAGCGGTGGCGGTGGTTGGTTGGAAAGAGGACTTTCTCTTGCAGTGACTCCACCTGAGCTATACCAAACATCCTTTGCTTCCATTTTCTTCCTTTTTTCTCTTGTTTATTTTTGAGATAAGCATTATTGTTAAATGGCCTAGGCTGGCTTCAAGTGCTCCATCTGTGTCCTGGGCTCCCAGTTGCACCACCACACACCACCCTTTTCCTGTAATTCCTGGGTTATGTGGATGAGGGCACAGACTGAATCCTCATAGGAGTTTATCCTGTTGTTTGCCTTTGTTTTTTACATAAGGATGGGCCTGGAGAGACACTAGTTAAGAGGGCAGACTGCTATTGCAGAGAGCCTGAATTTGGCTCTCAGTATCACATCAAGGGGTCCTCAGGAACCTCTAACCGGCAGGATCCAACACCCTCTTCTGGCCTCTGCGGGCACTTGCACTCCGCCCCTCCCTATTACAATAACAAAACAACACTAAGGTCCTGCGAGGTGGCTTGATAGGTAAAGCAACTGTACTCAAAGCTAATAACCTGAGTTCAACCTCCATATGTGTACCATGACTTGCACATTCACACAAAATAAAATGTAATTTAAAAAAAAATAAAACATGCCGGGCAGTGGTGGTGCACGCCTTTAATCCCAGCACTTGGGAGGCAGAGGCAGGCGGATCTTTGTGAGTTCGAGACCAGCCTGGTCTACAAGAGCTAGTTCCAGGACAGGCTCCAAAACCACAGAGAAACCCTGTCTCGAAAAACTTAAAAAATAAATAAATAAATAAATAAATAAATAAAAATAAAACACTAAGAATTCCACTGCCCTGAGGTTTAAGTCTTTTGTCTCTAATATGCAGGATTCTAATGACAATAATTGTTCATGATGGATTATTGATTGGACATGGTGAAGCAGAGCATGAGAAAGACCAGACAAGCCTTCACAGACCTTCTCCCCGGATCATGGGTTGTTGCTTAGTGAACCACATGGGATGCTCACCTGACCTCAGCTCTTATGGTTCTTCACCAGGGGTCAGGGGATAGGGTCACACAAGGTTCTCTAGCTTGAGTCCCACTGCCTCAAAAGGAATTCTTCATTTGGTTGAACCTCAAAGGATAATGCCTTAAATGTAAAATGCTCCTCACCTGCTTATCCTTCTGGTGCCTTCACAAGAACACAAACTAGTTCATCAGTGTACCTGGAAGCCTGTGCGAGTTAGGGCCCTGGAGAAGGCTAAGGTGCCCAAACCCTCTCTTCAACCAAAGGGCTATTTAGAGAAGCATCATGGAGCCGGGCGGTGGTGGCACATGCCTTTAATCCCAGCACTCGGGAGGCAGAGGCAGGCGGATCTCTGTGAATTCGAGGCCAGCCTAGTCTACAAGAGCTAGTGCCAGGACAGGTTCCAAAGCTACAGAGAAACCCTGTCTCGAAAAACTAAAAAAAAAAAAAAAAGAGAGAAGAGAGAGAAGCATCATGGATTTACGTGGCCTCAGGGAACCAAAAGAATAATGGATGGACATTTAGGAAAATTCGTTTTAGCTCTGAACAAACGAATCTGTGTTTTAACTTTTAGTGAAGTCTGATATGAGAATGGATTACTTGTAGGTAATGAGCCCTGTCACCTCAGGTCTTTAGACAGTTTGTCACATGCCAGGGTTCCTGATGGGAAGGAAGCCCAAGGCTAGAATGCTAAGGTCCCTCTGAGTCCCTCTGCTTGGCTGCCTCTACCTTTGACAGGGAAAAGGGAGAAGTGGGGTGCTCTGGAGAGGGGGCTGGCACTCAAGGACCTGGGATCTAGGGAGGAAGACACCAAAAGGCAGCAGAGTGCAGGGATGGGAGGTATGCAACATGGTACCACCAGTTCCTCCCAAATTCCGTTTACACCTTTGTCCTACCATTCCAAACATAATTTGAAAGATATTCTTGAAGGGCACAGCTCCAAAGCCTGGAGACCTGAGTGCCCATACTGACTGGGACCAGCTTACCAAAGGACCTCTGAGGCCCTTTCTTCTCATCTAGAAAATAAAAGGTAGGATTTGAGCCGGGCGGTGGTGGCGCACGCCTGTAATCCCAGCACTCGGGAGGCAGAGGCAGGCGGATCTCTGTGAGTTCGAGACCAGCCTGGTCTACAAGAGCTAGTTCCAGGACAGGCTCCAAAACCACAGAGAAACCTTGTCTCGAAAAAACCAAAAAAAAAAAAAAAGGTAGGATTTGAAATCTCCAAGTATCTCTTGAGTTCTGGCAGGCTGTGGACTGCCCTATTCTGAACCAGGTCAGTGTGGTAGTGGGCTGAAAGGAGCTCCTACAACAACTGTAGGCTTTCTGAGCTGGGCCCTTTCCAACTCAGCTAAGGTCTTTGTTACTGTGTTTTGTTTTGGGTTTCTTTTGTTTTGCTTTTTTTTTTATTGTGGTTTGGGATTTTTTGTTTTGTTTATTTGGTTTGGGTTGTTTTGTTTCATTTGTCCATCCTTCCCAAGACAGTTTTCTCTGTGTAGCTCTGCGCCTCCTAGAACTCACTCTGTAGAATAGGCTGGCCTTGAACTCAGAAATCCACCTGCCTCTGCCTTCTGAGCCTGCCACCACCACCACCTGGCTTGTTAATGTTCTTTATGGTGCTAAAAATGGATGGAATCCAAAGCCTCAAGCTGCTAGGCTAGTGCTCTGCCACTGAACTGCATCCACAACCCTCAGCATGTCACAGCCTTGTCCCAGGTGTCATTCACCACCACGGATAGACAACAGGGTATTTGAATGTGCTGTTTAGTAGGTAGCCTCTCCTCTACAACCAGAGCTGAACACCACCGATTTGCTGAGATTGGAGTCTACTCCCTGTTGTTCCAGGGACTAGGGAGACTCTAGCTCAGAATTCACTCTGCAGCTGGCCACATGAGGAGAAAGCATTCACAAGTCACTGGCAGACTGACATGAACCTACCCCTAGTCTGCCACCAAGCACAACTTAGGTGACCCTACACGTGGGACACCCCTTGAAAAAAAGAATCTTGTTCTTGGGATGGGGATGTAACTCCCTTGGTGGAGTGCCTCCCTAGCATCCACAAAGCCCTGGATTTGACCCTAGAACAACATAAACTGGATGTGGTGGCTCATGCCTGTTATTCCAGGACTTGGGAGGTAGAGGCAGAAGGATCAGAAGTTCAAAGTTGCTTCTGGAATGCATGAGATTGTGTTTTAAGAAAAAAAAAAAGGTTATTTTTTTAATCCCATTACTTTGCATCACTAAAAGGCATCTAGGCAACAGAACTGAGGGTCGTAGTTTTTAGACGAAGAATGGCTGGCTGATCAGGGAAGAGTCCTGCCCAAGCTTGGTGGGAAGAGAACCCAGCTGCACACGTCACCCTGGGCCACTTCTGAGCTTGCCTCAGCTCCTCTAGTACTCTACCCTAGACAGCCTTCTGGGAAAGGGAAATGTCAACAGAGTCAGACCCTGATCCCCAGGTGGGACTGCGCCGCTGAGGCCTCAGACTAGGAGGGGCCTGAAAACTGATCTCCAGGAAGGCGGGGCTCTAAAACACGGCAAATAAAAGCCTGGAGAACCAGTACCAGTTTGGAGACCAACAGGAGGTACTGGGAGTCTGCTGTTTCTGCTGAAGCTGGTGAGCTGCTAAAGCCGGGGAGAGCTGGAGGGTTGGGGGTCACATGGAGCAGGGAAGAGATTTGTACCCAGATGGTATGGGGCATTCCAGGGAAAATCTGCACACAATAGAAAGTCCCATCCTGAAATGGCCACTCATACCCTTTCGGAGTGGTCCAGGCAGAGTGGCAAACACCCCATATATTCCCGCCAAAACCAGGCAGAACAGACAGCACCACCCAGGCACACTTCACCAGTCAGAAGACCCAGCAGCCCGGCCTGTTGGCAGAGGCACATCTTCAGAGACCTCCCCCACCCACCCACTCCTTCTCAGATGCCCATGGCACCGCGTGTCCTGCTCTTCTGCCTGCTGGTCCTGGCAGTCATTGAAGGCCGTTGTCGGGAGGCAGCCATCCCAGGCTGCCACTTGCACCGTGAGTAACTCTGCTAGGGAGAGTGGATTGGGGCAAGAGCAGAGGTGTCCCAGAGCTGCAGATAGACCCCAGCCAGCAGTCTTCACAGCCTTTTTTCCTCTCCTTCCAGCCTTCAATGTAACAGTGCGAAGTGACCGCCATGGCACCTGCCAGGGCTCCCATGTAGCACAGGCCTGTGTAGGACACTGTGAGTCCAGCGCCTTCCCTTCCCGCTACTCCGTGCTGGTGGCCAGTGGCTACCGACACAATGTCACCTCTATCTCCCAGTGCTGCACTATTAGCAGGCTAAAAAAGGTGAGGGACCTGGGCCTGATGGGGTCGTGAGGGTGGGGACCCGGGGTGGGAAGGAATGGGAACAAATTTGGGTTCCTCCAACAGGTGAAGGTGTGGCTGGACTGCGTGGGGAACCAGCAGGGGGAGCTTGAGATCTTCACTGCCAGGGCCTGCCAGTGTGATATGTGCCGCCTCTCCCGCTACTAGTGCCTGAATGGCTCAGGCTCCAGTCCTGACACCGTATGCTATGGATCTCTCCAATGAAGGGGCAACTTCAGCTCTGCCCCTCCTTAGAGTCAGTGACTATGATCTCCTTTTACCTGGTCTATAAGCAGTCTCATTGCTACGCTGTCCTTCACCCCTGCCCTCAATAAAGCAAGCAATGCTTGAGTTTCGCTCTTTATTAAGTCTGCCCCCTAGCCAGGTGAAGGGAGCAGACCATGATTACTGTAACCCCCCCCTCACCCCAGGACAATGTGAATCTCTTCTTGCCTGTGCCCTCACCCCTCCCCCTGCCCAATAAATAAAAAGGGGACAAGAAAGTACAGGGCAAGGGAGAGAGGAGAGGAGAATGTCCCTGGACAGTGTCTTGTTGAGGGTGAGCTGGGCAGAATAAATAGACCGTGCCCCCATGGTGGGAATGAGGAAGGCCCTGGCCAGGTGCTGAGTGCCCATGTCCCAGGCCAGGAGCAGAGATGGGAACCCAGCTGTATAGGGCAGAGGAGGATCCCTGATGGCAGCTTCCCAGTTGCACACTTGCCCTGGTCTAGTCTTGCCAGAATCTTGCCACAAAGGCCTGAGAGTTCTGCCTGCCAAGACTACCAACTTGCATTCTTGTCTCCCCTCCATGAAAGCTATTCCCATGGGGCTGGCAGGGAGTCCTAGAACCACTCTGGCAAGGCCACGGGGAGGTGTGGACCTCACTGGGCCCCTAGGCAGAAGGGATGGAAGGGCTGATAGCTCTGGGTTTAGCTTCTCCTAGATTTGTCTAGCTCTGACCCCCACTGGCAGCCACCTGGGGTGTAGGCCGAGGAAGGGGGGCTTCCTTGGCCCCTTGCGTCCCCTGTAGCCGTCGTAGCTGCAGCTCCTCCAAACCTCGCCATAGTTCCTGTCGTTCCTGGGCTTTCTGCTGCTCCCTGGGGAGAGAGGGTGAGGCAACTCTTCCTCTCCTGGACTGCCAACAGTCTAACCTCCCTCATGGCCACCCCACTGTAAAGTGACTAGGACTCCATGGGGCACCTCGGCTTAGAGGGGAGGTGAGGAGAGAAAGGAGGAAAAATTAGGCTGTGAGCTGCCCTGAGGCATTGGTACAGGGAGTCAGAGCAGTCAGTGGGCAGCCCCTCTGGAAACAGGGTGAAGCTGACCACACTGGGATGGTCTGATGTCCCTCCCTGGTGGCCAGCCTCTGACCCTGTACTCACTGCTGTTTCTCCAGCTTGTAGGAGGCCGTAAGCTCATCAAACAGCTTCCCATTCATCTCCATGAAAGTCTTGAGTACATTGTAGATCAGCGAAACGATGGTTCTGATTGCCAAGGAGAGGTATTACGGAGGTGAATGAAATACCATGCTGCTCGTCCCTGGTCCCTGAACACTGCCCATTTCCATGCCCTTTTACCGCCCTTTGGTATCCTGACATTTGCTCTCTGTCCAGCTAGGAATGGCCCTGGGGGCTGGACTAGCTGTGGTGCCTGACTTCAAGGGCACAGGCTTGGGCACTCACGGGTTCCAGTGCTCCTTGGACACTTGGTAGAGGGTCCCAAATACCGCAGGCAGCACAGTGTGGCAGTTGTCCTCAATGAGGCTCAGGATGTACTCATTATTCCAGAAATACAGAGCCCGCTCTGCAACCTGGACAAGTGAAGCAGGAGAGAGGGCCTGGTAATGGTCTATCTTTCAGCCTTCCCCCCAAACCCGGATCCTCCGACCTCCACACCCCATCCCACGGGCTTATCTAACCCATTGGAGGAAACAAATGGAGGAGAGAAAGCATGGCTTCAGTCAACACCGCAGTTCCGACTCCTCCAGAGCCCACTGCACGTGTGCGGCCTTGGTGAGCCATGCAGCTCCTCAGCCTCAGCTGTCTGCTGTGTGAGTGGGGCTAAGAATACCCATCGCCACAGCTGTTGTCAGGAGGAAATGAGTTCCTGTACTTCAAGGTGTTTTCAAAGTGAAACACCAGAGCCATCGTGAGAAGAATCAGCTCCCACCAGGTCATGGCTCCTAACAGTGAGTCTAGTCTAGCGTGGGGACTGAGCCTTCTGGCCAGAAAGTGGGGCCAGTGACATCTAAGGTTACCAAGAAAAGAAAGGGACCAACAGTCCTGCAGCCCACTTTGCCTCAGTTTCCCTGCTGTGTTTACCACTATGAGTTCCGGTCACTACACTATGAATGACTATTGTTGCCCCATTTTTGATCAAGGAAACCCACTTAAGACTCAGAAATGATTCCCCAAGGCCTCTCAACTAGTGGAATACAGATCTGAGGTTTGGCCCTAGGTCTCGTGACCCTAAGGCCAGCATCTGCCTATTATCAGGTCGCTAAGGCTGGAAGAGAAGCTGAGGGGAGAGAAGACTATGTTAGACTAACTTTGAAACTTTGCCAGGCTGTGCCCCTGCCCTGACCCACTTGCCTTTGTCACATACCTGGAAATGGGGGCTGGAGACACAGCGAGCCACCTGCTTGAAGAGGGGCTCCTGGATCTTCACAAACTGGGAGGGCTCGATGACATCAAGAATTTCTTCCATCTCCCCCAGGAACATCACCTGGGGAGAGGGCAGGGCAGCAGCTCACATTCCCCTAAAGCATGACCTGCTTGCCTTCTGGAAGCCGAGCCCTCCCACCCACTCTCAGGGTTGGGAGAGCCCTTCATACCTCCTTCTGGGTGCAGGTTTTAGGCCAGTATTTGAGGAGCCCCCGGATAACCTGTAGGGTGGAGGAGGAGTCAGACCCGAAGAGTGAGGAGCCCACCTTCCCTCCAAGGTACTCACATGCTCGGTCAAAGTGGCATCCTTCTCCAGGAACTGCACCACACAGTATGCCAGCTGCAGGGCCAGGATGGAAAGAGGGAGCCAAGATCAGGAAGGAAGAGGAGCCAAGAACTAGCTGCCCAGGACAGCGTGCCAGGCACCTGCTCATTACTGCCTTCACACTCTTGTTCACTGGGCACTTACTGCTGCTTTGGACTTCAAGGCACCAAGCTCCTGAGTGCCCAGCAGCACAGAGCTGGTGTCTGAGGTCAGCTCTCAAGTAGAGGGAGACTGAATTAGAGACTCGGGGGTAAGAGGATGCAGCGAATGCCAATCTGACTTCCCAGCCCCACAGGCAGCCCTGAATGTCAGCAGCAGCTGCTACTTCAGGGATAGGTTTGGGGCTCACCTGGGCATGAAAAACAGAAAGCGACTTGACAGAGTGCAAGGGAATCAGGACTCGAACCAGAAACTGCTTGTGCTCAGTCTTCAGGGGCAGCGCAAAGCCATTGATGATGCTTTGGAGTGGAGAGGAGGGGAGCAGGACTCAGCCAATCAGGCCCCAGTCCTTCCTACAGGGGGGACCCCAACTCCAGCCAAAGCAATTACCTTCCTAAGATCTCCAGCAGTTCGGCCACACCATTGAAGTGCTCCAGCTCATAGATGAACCTGCCGGAGAGGAGAAGACTCTAGAGGGTGGGAGCGTTGGGACAGGTCCAGCTCTCCCAGCCTGACTCACCCTGCACAGCTGTCCAGCCCTCCCCAACCCACAGTAGTGCACCCTTTCTGGTGCCCCAAACCAGGCCCCTCTGAGTCCTCACCCACAGGCAGAACGTCTTTCCCAGTCCAGCCGCCTCTGCCACTGTCAGTCCCAGCTCATTTCTTCCAGTCCCCAGCGGTTCTTACCTGATGCCCAGCCAGCAGGCACCCAGCCTAGAACCTTCAACCTTCACGCAGTCAACCAAAGCAATGACAAACACCTCCACCCAGCACTGTAATTCCCCAAATCCCCCTGGGAGGCAGGGCATATGAAAGCCATTACAGAGATGAAGCTGAGACTCCAGCTAAAGGCTACTCGCCTCCAGGTTAATAAGTGGGGAAGCTAATGGACTGTGAGCTCCTAGAGAACAGGGCACATCTTCTCTGTTTTATCACTAGAAACAACAGCTAGTGTTTCAGAGGCCCCACCTCAGGCTAGCAGCTCTGCCAGATGCTTTGGAGGCCCCAGCTGGCTTCATCTAGAGAACGGCCCCGCATCAGCACAGGCGCTGTGCCCACTTCAAAGAATGAAGCAAGCCGAGAACTTCAAGGATTTGCCCGATTTCACCCAAATACATGAACCAAACTCAAATACACAACCATAGTCTCAACCACAAGGTCACAGGGGCTCCCACCACCCAGCGGATATGGTGCTAAGTAGCGTTTGTAGAAGACCTGATACGATCAGAAGATCTAGACCCTACATTCAACTGGGCTGCCCTCATCCCTCTAAACACTTAACTGACCTCTGCTTTCCTATATTCTTACTTGCCCTCTATTTGCTCATCTGTAAAATGGAAATAAAACTCAATTCTCCACTGCTGTCACAGGCATCGCATCATCAGTACTACTTTGCAGAGACAGACCTTGGTAAACATATAGCCCACACAGCCTGGTAGTCCCAGCAGGTCCCTCCTTTCCTGCCTCCCTCCCAGTTCTCTGCTGAGAGGCAACAGCCACTCACCGGAGGAAGATGTGGGTGCACTGCTTGCGAATGTAGGCCCGGAGACCCAGGAACTTGCCATACACCCGATGCAAAATGGTCTTGAGGTACTCACGTTCCCGAGGGTCCTCGCTGTCAAATAGCTCCAGCAGCTGTAGGACCCAGGGTTAGAGTAAATAAGTCCAGATGTCAACCCCTGTTTTTCCCATGACCCCCAGATAGCCTGTGCCTGCCGTATGGTACCACCCAGCCTGAGCTCCCCAAGTCACCATCAGGACAAACTTTTGATCCACATATCTCTTGGCCACAGAGGGCTGGAAGTCTGGACTCTCCAAGAAACGCAGGAAAAACTCGTATACCAGCTGGAGGTTGGAGACAGACCAAAAGGTGCACTTAGTTACAGCCTGATCGACTTTCCTCGCAGCCAACAGTCAGCATCTATACATCTATACAATCTCCCCCCACAACCCTCTCTGAAATGCAGACCCCTGCTCCCCAGCCCTTCACACCTGTAGATGTGGCCACGAAGGCTCAAGGT